GTTTTGGCAATCGTTTTTTATTAAATAAATCAAAGGAATGTGTTGGAACATTTCCTGTAACATCCGGTACAACTAAGGCATCGATTTCGATTGAAAATGTTGGATCTACTATCGACGATATAGTAAGTACAGCTAATTTATCACATCTTGCTAGGCATTCGCCGCCAAGACCGCTAATATCTGCCGCAATCGGCATGGTAGTCAATTTCAGTAATTTTTGAATACGCTGTGAGACAAAAGAATCATCCGAGCAGGGATCTATCAATGCTCTGACTCTATGCGACATGCCATTTTTGTTTTACTAGCTACGGAAGTATGATATGTACTGACATTCGCATTTGGTAGAGGCATATCAGTGGACTGTAAGTTTGTGGTTTGTGATGATTGTGACACTTTTCTTGATTCTTGTGACTTTTGATTTTCCTGCTGAGACATATTTGGTCTGTGCAAAAGTGTATGGTGCTTCGAATTGCACTCTGAGCAACTATTTTTGCTTGAACAATTTGCCACCATGTGACCTTGAGCAAGGCAATTGAGGCAGTGATTGTCGCGTTTTACGATAGACAATCTATTTTTAAAGTCCATGCTTAAGAATTTGGGACAAGAGCGCAAAATGTGATTACCTCTACACAAATTGCATTTTTGATTACTAACTTTAGTGTGGTGGACTTTATAATTCCTTGACCGTTCAAAATTATTGAATTTTTGCTGTTGGGGCAATGAAGATCGTGAGCTTTGTGGACCATATATATCCGAGACACTTTCAAGTGCTTGAAACCGTTCCGTCAAGAATATATTTAATTCTTCCCAAGAAGGCATTTCGGTCTTCTTGGCAATTGATTGTTCCCAAAGGGACAACGTGAGTTTTGGTAACTTTGATGAACATTGGAAAACGAAAATTGGATCCCACGACCTAATATCGATTTTATACAATTTCAAAACCGAAATTGCATTATTAATGTCTCTTTGCAGTTTCTTTAAAGCACTAGCTGACTCGTGAGCACACTGTGGCAGATTAAATATTTTACGCAATTGATTATTTATTAGGATCCTCTTATTTTCATATTGGTTTTTGAGGTTCTCCCATGCTATATCAAATCCCTCATCAGTCAGTGGAATATGTTGGTTGATTTGCCTTGCTTCTCCACTTGTCTTTTGAAAAAGGTGGTATAATTTTTCAACAGGGCTAAGCTTTTTATTGTTTATATATATTGCTGTAAACAGATCCCTAAAACTGGGCCAATTTAAGTAATCTCCGTGAAATACCTCTGTATCACACGCCGGGACAGAAATCGAAGAACCTATTTTTTGAATTGATCGTGAACATGCAGTCTTTATCTTTTCTTTTGCGTCACCGATTAGAGTAAGACTTTTTATGTAATTTTTATGAGCTTCAGCCTTTTTGTTTTTTAATGTTGTCTTATCTTTCTTCTGTAAGTCAGAGTCAGATAAACATTTCTTATAGGTAGTTTTCCAATCTTCCCATAAATTTTCCACTTCCTGCTTTTCAGCCTCAAGGAACATATCATTATAATCTTTGAAGTCGATTTCTTTAAGTTGTTCTTCAAACGAAGCTATCTCTTCGCACTGGACTAAAAATTCTTCCATTACGCCCATGATGTCTGCGCCAGTTAAACAAATATAATATTTTTCTGTTAAAAATATTTAATGTGTCACTGATTCGACAATAGGGGACAGTTGTTGACGAATTTTGTACAATTCTTCAAAAAAATATATATGAAAATTTAACTTTCTTCCTCAATTTATTTTTCCGAAATTGGGACAAGTGATTTTCATAAAAATTCGCTTTGTGTATAAATCTTGTGTTAGAAAAAAAATTGTCCAAACTTATATTATTTCAGTTGTCCTCGGAGACAGAGACAGAAATGTGTTATTCACAGGCTAAACCCAACGAAAATTCACATGAAATATTTTTGAGTTCGAACTTTATTAAAGGCCTTTATATCCATTGAACAAAATTTAAATTTTTATTTGTAAAAAATAATTATATATTTTCCTCTTGGTACCACTGTGCCTGTGGATAACTGCTACAATATCACCAAAAGGAAACTCGCACAACACAGAGACAGATAATGTATATATGCATGTATGTAAATAAATTTGCCAAAACAAAAGACAACTTATGTGAAAACGCAATAACAAACTTTGTTGTTGTTATTCACACAAAATTATGCATCCCAACACAGTGTTCCAATCTCACAAAGGTTTCAGTGTGTCATTCAGCCAAAGATATGGAACAATATTCAAACAAATATCTATGGCCATGTTAAACATTCAGATGTGAGCATGTTGGGTTATTTTTTTTTTATTTTTTATTTCATGGGACATAAACATTAAGTATTTAAATTTTATTTTCTTCGCATCACTGTGATATGTTTATTTTGAGTTGAGTAAAAGAGCGACATAAAATAGATCACAGCAACAACACAACAATCAACCACTTCTCAATGTGCGTGTGTGTACGTGCTTTTGTGTGTTTGACGCGAGAGCAAATGACAATGACCTACCTCAACAATAATGCAAGGAATAGCGGTACAATGTTCTATTTTCTTTTCTAAATTTATTCTTAGTTTTTTTTTGAAAAATTTGTTGGTGAAATTTTGCAACACTGCAAGGGACAGGTTGGGATAGGTTATGTTGGAGTACGTAATGGACCTAAGGGCCAACAAATTCCAAATGCATCAAAACAAAATATATTGGTGTACGTACCTTACTGTTTTGGTTGGTATCGGCCTGAAATTGTTTACACAAACTTTTTGCTGTAGGGATCGTCAGGACCATATGTTAGGGTCACACACCACTAACCTCAGGCAGCAAAGATACCCAAACCAAATTCTGGTGACGACGGCTTGACACGGCTTCGATGAGACAGGGGGAAGTTGAAGTCACAACCACTTCTTGGGACCACCTTTTTTTCTTTAGGAGAGTACCCGAAATCACTTTTATTGAAATAGACCTTTGTTTTATTTTGCCTCAACGGGTCACTAACTAATTAAAAACACGTTTATATAGGTTCTTCCTTTTTTTATTAGGTTTTTCTTTTACTTTTCACAATTTTATAATTCTTCGACAATTTGTCCGCGCGACCATCACAAACCTAAAAAAAAACTCAAACTCGAAAACTGTGATCGGTCTAACAAAAGGAAGAAGTTATCAAAACAAAACAGAGAGAAAAGGGAGCACCGATAATTGTGTCAACGGTGGTGGCAAAACAGAGTTCACGTACGCAGGGTTCGAAGTTATTTTATTGAGGCCGTGTTTACATGGTTGTAAATAGTTTCTTTAGTTCCTCAACTAATTTATTAAAGTAATATAATATAATTTATTTAAATAATAATAATAATAATATATAATAAATTACCACTGCGTACGTGAACACTTTATCTTCCCCTATTATTATTTATATTTCAATAAAACTCTAAATCAGAAAACTAAAACGTTCGTGTTTTATTTTCTATATTTTTCGAAACGCAATTTCGGCGCCTTAACACTAATTATTTTAGCGATTTATATTGAGGATGGTATAATAGCTGCAGAATCGAAAGAAATTGCGGATATATTCCTTGGCTATCTACAAAGTGAATTTGAAGTAAAGAGAATTGATTCTTTATACTATTTGGGAATAGAAATAAATCAAGAAAATAACAAAATTCATATATCACAGTCATCGTATACAAAGAAGTTATTGGGAAAGTTTAACATGGAAAATACAAAACCAGTGAGTACACCAATAGAAGACACTTTTATAACAGGACAACTTACGAAAATTATAAAGTTCCCTTATAGAGAAGCAATTTATTCACTAATGTATTTAGCAGTTGTGACGAGACCTGATATAACTTTTGCTGTATCGTATTCAAGTCGTCTTCTATATTCATATGGCGATGAACATGTAACATCAGTTAAACGTATTTTCAAATACCTATGTGGAACAATCAATGACGGCAATTTTTTTTTTTTGAAAATAACAGCGACATTAATCTCAAGTGCTACACCGATTCTGATTATGCTGGAGATCGCGAGAATAGACATTCAACAAGTGGATATGTTGTAACATTTGCAAGAGGTCCAATTTCATGGTTTTCTCGCAAGCAGTCGATAGTAGCTTTCTCAACTACAGAAGCAGAATATGTTGCCGCTTGCGAAGGTGTCAAGCAATTAAAATGGTTACAAAGACTTTTGGATGAACTTAGCACGAGTGATGACATTTCTATGCCAAAAATGTGTTTAGATAACCAAAGCGACATGAAGCTTATAAAGAATCCACAGTTTTATAAGAGGACCAAGCATATCGAAGTTAAATATCATTATATACGAGAAGTCTATGAAAGTAAATTTTTTGAATTGTTATATGTGTTACAGTTAGAGAACAATTAGCAGACATTTTTACAAAACCATTAAAAAACAGCGATTCAATTATATCAGGAACAATTTGAACATAAAGAAAAGGACAAAATAAATACAAGTGGAAAGTTATTTATTTATAATGTTCACTGTATTTATAGTAACTTGTTACATTGAATGCAAAACATCTCAAGTAGATATTATTAAGATATTATTCATGTTTACAAGTTTTTGCCAATAAAATAATATTGTTTTGTTACAAACTTCCAACCGCAAACAAGGTCTTCAAAATTTCTTAACAATTAGCTCCTTTAGAAAAAAAAGAACGAGAAAAATCGATCCGCTACATGAACTAGAATGCCCAACTCCAAGTTTTCCGGTCTTGATACGGATGTAGAAATTAGTACAATTAGAAATCATTTTTCATTCTTTGAAAATTTCAGTGATGTTTTAGAATATTTCGCAGACCTCCCTCAAAGCCGGTGAAAATAGCCTTAATATATTTTCTGGATTTCTTACATCCACATCGTATCCCAGCAAGCATTTTTTATTGCCGAAGTAAAAAAGTCAAATTAATTCTGGTCTAGCATTGTCGGCAACAATCGCTTTCTTATCGAAAATGGTAAAGTTCACGAGAAGAATTGTACCACATCCACGATACTACTTGGGACGATTTTTGTTGTATTTTCTACTTTGTAACAAATTATTGACAATTTGTTCTTAACAAGGGATTTGACAGGTAAAAATTTTAATACTGCCCAGTAACTAAAAAATTAGTATCACTTCACTATTTCCACATACACAATATATAGCATTATATTTTTATATATAGTATGGAGAGTATATTAATTATATATAATTATATATATTAATTTTATATATAGTATGGAGAGTATATTAATTTTGCCATTCCGTTTGAAACTTATCGAAATATCCATTTCCGACACTATGATGTATATATATTTTGGATCGGGGTAAAATTCTAAGACGATATTGCCATGTCCGTCCTTCTGCCCGTACGTCCGTCTGTTGTAATCACGCTATCTTCTGAAGGAAGTACCCCCAATTTTCGGTATTTTGGGGTTCTTGAGCGATTTTGTCAACAGAATTCGCTGAAAGTTAGTAGAACGTGTCACCTACTTCGGAACTATGGTGTATCTGTGGCCGCTAGCTCAGGAGCCAATAATCAGGGCGGTTGCATCCCAGACACCAATAGTCCTAGGGGACGAACAATTAAATGTTTGTTTCAACAAACGTGAATACAGACAAATAATATACAACATAAACACCTGGTATACTTGAAACAAGAGAAATTTGTGGTTTTACTCCCACACTTGCCCACCCTACCTTGACCCTTAGATCCTATTAACAAAACAACAATTTGAGAGCCCCGAATACATTATACACTCACTTCTTCTCAATATCCTAACTCTCCTCTCTCACAAAAACAATCAGAACATCATAATTGAAAATGCCAAACTGGATTTTCTGCAAAATCTGGGATGGTTAACTGCTGCCGAAATAAGGAAAGAATATTCGTGTAGACCGGAATAATTTCTCCTCGGAATAATATGGAAAAAACCAAAGAAGTAAAAACAAGGTATTTAGAAATGAATTTTCTAAGGTGGTGGAATTTTATTGGCTGAAATTTGGAAGCGAATTTTACCAAGAACCGTGGTGTTTGCTGGTTAATACAGAAGTGTTTTTATTGACAATGAGAAAAAAGGAAACAGCCAGTGGAAAACAGAAAACATTTGCATTTAGTACCAAGAGAGAAATGCAAATTTAGGCGAATAAGGAAAATGGAAAATAGGGTGACCAGCATAGTTAACCTTGGCGCTAAACAAACAAACAAATCAAAGACAACTATTAACATAATTTCTTAATAAATAATACAAAATAGTGATGAAACATTAACTATATTCAATAAATTTATGATTCTTTAAAATTTGATTTTTTACCCTTTCTTTATGTTGCTATAAAATGCTAAATAATTGTTGCTCACCAGAAATATCAAACCTGCCTAAATGAGATCCTTAGGTGGTCGTATTGGACATAATAATTCGTCCAAAACAAATAGAACAAATGCAACCCACATAAATTGGGGCAACCTTATGATCATTATATCGTAAGAAAAAAAACTAGTTAATGTTCCTTACATGAATATACTATAAATCATTATTTAACAAAAAAAAAAAAACATTTAGGGGTAACACAACTTAATATAGATTTATCGTAACGGCATTTTCTAA